ACAGAAAAAAAAACACATCTTAGGAACAGGGAGGCTACTTTCACACTGCTCCACAGAAAAAAAACACATCGTAGGAACAGGGAGGCTACTTTCACACTGCTCCACAGAAAAAAAAAAAAAACACATCTTAGGAACAGCGAGGCTACTTTCACACTGCTCCACAGAAAAAAAAAAAACATCTTAGGAACAGCGAGGCTACTTTCACACTGCTCCACAGAAAAAAAAAAAAAAACATCTTAGGAACAGTGAGGCTACTTTCACACTGCTCCACAGAAAAAAAAAAAAACATCTTAGGAACAGGGAGGCTACTTTCACACTGTTCCACAGAAAAAAAACACACATCAAAAACCCTTTTGAATTTTTGACACATTTTTGCAGTGCATTGCATTTTGATGCATTTGTGTTGTGTTTTCCCCACTGAACAAAGCACTTCCCACAGGTTTCAATTTTTCATGCATTTTTGCTGTGGTTTCCTTTCATTTCAAAGGATGGATGTGTTTTTGGTAGTTTTTTTAATGGATCAAACATGCACCAAAAATGTAGCAAGCAGGATTTTTTATTTCACCGAACTGAAGCGCAATGGATCAATGTAAAGAGTGTCATAGGATTTAAAGGAATGCAGTTTTCTTACGCTTTTTTTTCCACTAAAGTAAGCGCCAAAAGCAACCTAAAAAAAGTAACCAATCACAATTCAGACTCGATAGGTAATAGGAACTTGTCATTCTTTAGCAATGTCTATTTAACTGATAAATTAGGAGCATGTGTATCTCTGGGACAGATGTGCAAAGAAATCTCCAGACAGATAAGAACACAAACCGATAATGGCTTAATCCATCCCTACATGGCTGTACATACACTTGATATGTTATGGTGCAATTGTTAATGCACGAACTGTGGTGCACTGCCATTCATTTTAAATGGCACCTATACTTGCTACTGCAGTAGCGATCACCACACTTTCATCCATTATACAATGCATATGCTGACTGAATTAAAAAAACAAATTCTTCACTCACCAATGGTTAGTCTACCTCCCAAAATGCCAGGTGTGGCCGAGGGAAGCTTGAGATAGGATTTGTTCTCCACCAGTACATGCAGGGCTGAAGTGTGATGTCTCAGCTCGCTAGGGGACTGCAACCTCATCATGCGTTTGCATAGCATCCTGCTTTTCCCTATGTGAGGCACACTCTACGTGTGTCAACACAACCACAGATCTAAAACCAGCCAGAGATAGATCTACATTCAGCTGAATTTCAATTAGTGTGTGGCCATACTGTCAGAATACAATGGGGTTGATTTATTAAAACTGGAGAGTGTAAAATCTAGTCCAGCTGTGCATGGTAGTCAATCAGCTTCTACCTTCAGCTTGACGAAGCTTTGACAAAAAAAACATGGAAGCTGATTGGTTTCCATGCAAAACTGCACCAGATTTTGCACACTGTGGATTTAGTATATCAACCCAAATGTTGTGGTGGGAGGAAGATTCCTCCATCCTCCTTGTATGTGAACCATCTATGGTCTGCTGAAGGGCCAGTCTTGTTCTGCTGCACTGAGCAGCATTGTACATCACAGTCCCAACACACAGGCAAGGCAGTTGATGCTCTTAGATTGTAAGCTCAAGGATCAGGCCCTCCTAACCCTCTTGTATTGAACAGTACTGTTGCTGTATTGTCTCCTTTTATATTGTAAAGCGCTGAGCAAAATGTTGGCGCTATATAATTCCTGTATAATAATAATAATCTGTGCTGAAAAACAAAAGTAGGACAGGTGTAATTTTTATGCAGCGCACTGTGTCACAGGCAACGCATCGCAATGCCCTTCAATGCATAGAGCTGAATGAAATGTCATTTTGTGACATTTAAGTTCTAAAAAAAAAAAAGCAGCGCACCAGACACTTCTACTTAAATGCTGCACCTGTTCAGCTCATAAAAATACTGTGTTATAGTTCATGCACGTCTATACATTATTTCAACAAAAAATTCTCAAGAGTTCAAAAGTGACAGCAATCCAGCTGCCGGAAGAGGGTGATTCTGTATTTCATTTGATACCTTTTACATATTTCTTTTTATTACCAGGAATAAAAAGTCTGTTCCCACCCTATGGAACACTTGACTTGGAAAACTACTGTAACTATAGACCAGACACGCAGCTTGTTTATATCGTTCCTTTGCTTCCTCGATTCTTGTTGACACATTTCTGTGTAATAATAAAGTTGCAGCCTGTTTTCTCGTAACATCATAATAAACCGCGGCAGAGACTGTCCTTTGTCAAACATTTTGGATTCAGCTTCTCGGAACAGCAAAGGTCAGACAAACACATTGAAGCATCAAATGGCAGTAAATGTTGCCTTCAGCTTCCTGTACCATCGGACTTGCCAAATGTGCCAAAGAAAGGCTAGGGAGTAATCCACAAGGCTTGTGTATGGTCTGCAAGAAAGGTATATATAGAACTTTTTTTTTTCTTTCATAGATATGTTAAGAAAATTAAAGCTGAAACCCAGACAACAGCTGAACACGTAGATAAAATACATATCAATGAGCGTTCTTATCTTCCTAATGGCTTTGTATTTCTGTCCATTCAGTTCTGAGAGTTACACAGTCCTGCTACACAGCACATCCTTGTTTGGCAGGTAAATCGGATTTTTCTGTGATGCAGTTAAAGTGATATTAACCACTTGCCTACCAGGCCACTGGATATTTTCTCTTTTTCGGACTATTCTCTGTAAACCCTGGGGATGGTTGTGTGTGAAAAATCCCAGTAGTTTTTCAAATACTCAGACCAGCCCTTCTGGCACCAACAACCAAGCCACGTTCAAAGTCACTTAAAGTGTTACTAAATCCACAACAGTAAAATCAGTCTGTATATGCAGTAGAGCATGCTTGTTATACTCACTGTGAAACCGAAGGGGTTAATTCTCCATATTGTGTAAAAAGGCCGTTTGATCCTGTTTTCCCTGATCCTCCCCTTTTTCTATTGTCCCCTAAATATCTCCTGAGAGATCAGTGGTTTGGAGTCACTGTGAACACTCAAGTATTGCCAGAGAGGTTTTTTTTCTTTTTCCTTGTGAGAGTGTTGTGATCAGCACAGGGCCAATAAGCACTGTCCAGACATAGGTCAGGGGTCTTGCATCCTCCTATAAGCTTTAACCAGTGCTCAGTTGGACACTGATAGAAGTCACAAGACTTCTCTGAAGAGAAAAGGTATTTAGCAGTTTATATTTACTAAAATAATTGCACTTCTATGTTCTGTGTACTGTGGGAGACCAGATATAGTGAATGCAGGGTCTGGGGTTTAGTAACACTTTAAATCCCCTTTCTTCTCCATTCTGATGCTTGGTTTGAACTTCAGCAAGTTGTCTTCACCACGTCTACATGCCTAAATGCAATGAGCTGCTGCCATGTGATTGGCTGATTAGAAACTTGTGTTACCAAGCAATCGAACAGGTGTACCTAATAAAGTGGTCAGGTAGTGTATTTCGATAGGCAATGTTTTAAAAGCTTTTACAGGATACCAGTTTAAAGATACACAGGAGGTCTGGTACTAGATTTATTGCTCTCGCTCTGACGTTTGCAGTGATACCTCACAATGTGAGGTACGACCATCACTTACATATGTGGGCAGGACCTATGGTTGCGTTCGCCTTTGTGCAGGAGCATGGGGGGGGGGTCTTATACTATAGAGATGATCGAGGAGATTCCAGTGCTGTCATCTCTATGGCAAGCTGGCAAAACCACTCCTGGGCTCCATGTTGGGACAGGAGAGCTCAAAAAGGCAGGGGGAAGGTTCAGCCCTTTTACTACTGTAAAAGTAATCAGGTGACTGTATAACCACCCAGATTTACTGAACAACCGATGAATGGCTGTAAAAAAAAATAAAAAAAAACTTATAGCAAGCTCATGGCTGAAGTTTCAGCCATGAACTTGGTTTTAACACAGCCTAAAGAAATTAGGGGATTAAAGTCCATCTTTAGGCAAAAACTTTTTTTTCGGAAGGGTTAGATCCTCTATTTGAACTGGTGACCACTGTCACTGATAAGGAAAGTGAGAGGAAATCTAAAATTTTAAGAGTTTTATTTCTACACCTACCTGAATACACAGCACAAGTGCACTCAGAGCAAACAGATTGCTCGTGGCACTCAGAAGGTTGGAGGGGCCAGGAGCACCAGTGGGGGCCCAAAAAGAGGAAGATCAGTGCTTCTCTGTGCAAAATCATTACACAAAGCAGGCAAGTATGACGTTTGATATTTTATAAAAATCTGAAACCTTACTATCGTGTTCAGAGTAGGCAGATGTAAATGGACAGTCATCTGTTTATTTCCAGCTAACTCTTTGTCTGCCCAGGTCCAGAGAAAAAAATGCAAAGCATTCTTTGAATGGTGCCTGTGCTGAGCGCCTGACCTCATGCATTCACAATGTATCATGCCACCCACTCAGCACAGAACCTGAAGCTATTGGAGATCACTGGAGTAGCGATGTCTACTTCACGGATTTCCAGCAGCATTGGCCAGGTATGGTATACACACAGTTCAATAGGTCGAAGCTGGACCTATGTCAACCATGTAAAAAATATCTCATGCCCGGAACTCTTTAATTATCCACGGGACCCTATGCCTGAAAAATCCTTAACCAGGGAACCTGGGAGAACGGATGTAAAGGAGGAACATACCAAATATGTATTTGGTTTAGTTTTTTCCTGTTTATGCCCTTTTCACATGACCATTCCTATCAGGTCCACCTGTCTTTTTTTTCTGTTGAACCAGATCAGATGGTCCATTCATCTCTATGGACTGGGGGGTGTAAATGGACTTGTGTCCGTTTACACCCGCCTACCTCCGATCTGGTCCGGTACAGTACACTAAAAACAAGTGGAAGAGGATCCGTTCTCCTCTGTGTAGGCAGACATGGACCTGTCAAACACCCGCTTTGCTCAGCATTGGATCAGCAGATAGAACCCCTGCTGAGCAAAGCAGATCTGTCCTGTGTGAAAGGGGCCTTATGCACGCTCTAGGTTGCTCATTTATATTATACAACCGCAGGGGCGGACTGACCATTTGGAAACTCGGGCACTGTCCGAGGGCCCGGGGTCAGTAGGGGGCCCCATGAGATGCCCCTGGTACCTTTTTCATAGGCTTTTTTTAGTTTGGGCAAGGACACAGGGGCCCCATGATCCCCTATTGCCCGGGGGCCCCATGAATTGTCAGTCCGCCCCTGTGCAACCGTTTAGTATGGAGTCTCAACATTTTGGACATTACTGTATATAAACTCCAGACTGAACTGGTTACCTTTTTCATGCGTTTTCTTTAAATCATCATGACCTGCCTGGCGCATTAGGAGAGGTCACCTTAGCAATTCAAAATTTTCCAATGCTTGATTAGGCATCTGAAAATCCAGATTCTTTCCCTGCTCTTATCATTGCTGTATGACAGATGGGGCAATATGCAGTGAATACACGTTGTAGAGATCGCTCGGCTCACACCTGTGATGTCATGATATCAATGACTCATCTCATCCTACTTTCTTTATCTCAGTTTATAACTCCCCCATCAATCCTGTAATTAGAACACTTTACCATCTCAATCCCTCTCTCTCTTTCAGCCACAACTCTAATACATAGCTCTGCATAAATCAGCACAATATTTCATCATCCCAAGTGTTTACATTGCTGGCATTTCACAGTCAACTCTGGAATTATTGTCAATTACTTTTATACATTTTCTTAAAGTAAAAGCACTGATGTTTCCCAAATCAATAAGTATATGTATACCAAATAACTAACTCTCATAAGCTTTAAAGTAGAACTAAAGTCAAAACTTTTATGTCCATATTGGATGGAGTAATGAGGGGTTATAACCACTGTCATTTATTTTTTTTTATAGTCTTTATTTACTTATATGGCGCCATAAATTTACACAGCACTTTACATATATTTTGTACATTCACATCAGTCCCTAACCCTCAAGCCATGTACAATCTAAGGTCCCTAACTCACATTCATACATACACATACTAGGGACAATTTAGACAGGATCCAATTAACTACCAGCATGTCTTTGGAGTGTGGGAGAAAACTGGAGTTCCTGGAAGAAACCCACGCAGGCACAGGGAGACATGCAAACTCCAGGAAGGTGGCACCATGGTTGGGATTCAAACCAACGACCCTAGTACTGTCAGGCGGAAGTGCTAACCATTTAGCCATTGCACTGTTCCATTTTTAGGGACAGTATTGGGTTTCTTTCACTAAAGAAGTGAGAGGAAATCCAAAGTGAGAGAATCCCTGGTTGTCACCAGAACTAATGTCCCCATTGGAAGATATCCACTCTATTCCTATTCTGGGGACAATCCAAAATGTAAGGGTTTTTTCCCCTACTTTCAGTGATAATGGTAAACAAAACAAATACGTTGAATCTCCACAAAGGGGAAAAGGACAGCAAAAAAAAAAAAAAACCTGACAGGTGTTCTAATCCCTCTCTAATCTAAAACTAGAAAAAAAAAAAAACCTTTGTCTTTTATTATACTTTAATGACATGACCTCCAGAAGATTTACCCCCCTTCCTGACCAGGCCATTTTTTACAATGTATCACTGCGTTATTTTAACGGGCAATTGCATGGTCATGCAATGCTGTACATAAATGAAATTTATGTCATTTTTCCCCACAAATAGAGCTTTCTTTTGGTGGTATTTGATCACCTCTGTGTTTTTTACTTTTTGCGTTATAAACAACAAAATACTGACAATTTTGTGAAAAAAAAAACAACAAAAAAACCCCAATATTTTGTATTTTCTGCTATAAAACATATCCAATAAAAAAAATTTAAAAAATGTAATTTCTTTATAAATTTAGGCCAAAATGTGTTCTACATATTTTTGGTAAAAAAAATTCCAATAGGTGTATATTGATTAGTTTGCACAAAAGCTATAATGTGTATTCGAACTATGGGACATATACTTGAATTGTTTTTATTTATTTTTTTTAATACTAGTAATTGGCAGCAATCACTGACTTGTTGTGGGACTGCGATATTGCGGCTAACATTTTTACAGACACTTTGTGAGAACTAGTTACACTAATACAGTGATCAGTGCTAAAAATATGCACTGACACTGTAATAATGACACTGGCTGGGAAGGGGTTAAACATCTAGGGTGATCAAAGGGTTAACTGTGTGCCTAGTGACGTGCTTGGTGTACACTATGATTGCCTATAGTTTTAGTTTTAACACATTAAGGGGATTTCAAGTTATTTTCAATATCTTTAAGTCTGTAGCTGATTCTGAAAAGGTGGCCATTGTTCAAGCACTATCCTTCATAGGGTGACAACACTCTGTCATGTCTGGCAGCTGCACTTGTGCATTTTCACTGTCACACGCCTTGACACCTGCTATGGTCATATGGTGGGTAGACCTTAAAGTGGTTCTAAAGTAAAAAAGATTTTTTACATTCATGCATTTTCTGTATGAAGGTCAAAAACTCCTATTTGTCTAGTTGTCCACCACTCCCCTAATTCCTAAACAATTACCTGCCTCCTATCATGATCCAGTGCTGTCCCAGCTCCAGCACCTCTCTCCTCTCTTCCTGGTCTGACAGGAGACTGTGAAAGCAGTGGGAGCCATAGGCTCCTGCTGCTGTCAGTTAAACATTTGTGAGATGTGGGAGGGGGCAGGGCTTACTGGTGCTGTGTGTGTCTATGGATTGGGAGTGTGGCCACACAGGTGCCCCCTAAGCAAACATACCCGGAGGAGAGCATCAGCAGGGGACTCCAGAACAGGAGGTAAGGGGCTCCTCTGTGCAATACCATTGGAAAGAGCAGGTAAAGGTTAACATTTTTTTATTTTAATATAAATTGGCTTTCCAATCACTTTAGTGCCCAGCTGCCGCACATATGCATTCCATGTGCCTCTGATGTTTTGTACTGCACACTCCCAGTACACTGGTTGAGTTGTTGCCAACAGCCTCCAGTCTTTGTTTGCAATTGGGTCCCTGCAAGACAGGTTCTCGGATCATGTGTCCATTATCACATGATCAGGAAGCTGTCTTCACATAATTTTTTTTTCCGCAGTGGCACGCAAAAACAAAAACCAACAAGTGACCAAAAAAAGTGCATCTAAGGGTATGCTTTTCGCCCAACCCTGAAGAAGTAGGACCTTACATTGGCATGATTGCGCTGCAACTGTGAGCCAATGGTTTAGCTTGAAGTTGCAGTCTGGCCCCATTGATCTCAATGGGCAGGTTTGACAGGTGGCCCCACCTGTCAAATTTTGTTGCCCGAATTAAAAATTGCCATGGGCATGGCATGTCTACAGCCCAGGTGGGTATCCATATGGGGGTATGCGTTAAAACTGTGGTTCAGTCGCCTTGTTTTACCGACCTCCCCCAGATGTCCATGAGAAAGACAGAAGTCTTCTTGCCCATCTCAGGTATGCAAGCACACTATAAGTATGCAGGCAGGGTATACCACCTTTAACTTACATAAGATTGTCTTAGGACCGTGTTGAACTATTCATGGAGGGGATCCTGATCTTTCAGCTCTTTAAGTGCCCAGTGACATACACAACTACTACTACTGATATGCTGAACACAGCAGCTGTTGGCCTTTTAGGTCTATGCCACTCACAAACATCCCCTCACCGCACTTGTGGTCATATAAAACAGAACATTGTGTACATAGGATTGGACAGAGCTGTGTTTTGTCTCGCTTACTCTTTATATAGAATACTTTTCAAGGCCACATTCACACTGGTGATTTAGGACAATGAGAACTGTATCTTCTGCTGCTGGATAGAATGACAATTTTAACTTGGGCTGCAAAATTTGCCAGGCAGGACCACAGAGTAGCAATAGGACACAGCATAGAGACAGTCCACAGAGTAGCAATAGGACACAGCATAGAGACAGTCCACAGAGCAGCAATATGACACAGCACGGATAAACAGCTATCGTGCTTCGTGCGTCTGGCGTCACTTCCGGTGGGGTGGGGTGCGCGCTGGGCGGTGCGTTCCGGCGGCCGTCTTTGGGGGCCGGTTTGGTCTGTCTGGAGTCTCTGCTCTGTTCTATGGCTGATGTGAGATCCCTGGAATAAGAAAGGCTGTGGAAATGTTCATGTCTTACCTGGAGTCTACTATATATAAATAAATGTGCCTTTTACAAGTCAAAAAAAAAAAAAAAAAAAAAAAACAGCTATCAGGTCAATAATATGGCACAGCAAGGGTTAACAGTCCATGCAGTGCAAATATGGACAGCGAAGGGAAGTAGTCCACAGGGCAGCATAAGGGCAAATGATCCTCAGGACGGTAATATGGCACAGCAAGGGGAGGTAAGGGGCGGAAGGGTTCAAAGACTCACACTGCGCAACTCCAACTGTCCTAAGTAGTGGATGTGGTTCTATTTGCTGAGCGGCAATTTTACATTGCTTTATTGTGCTGCAACTGCAGTTGCAGTGTGGCCCCCCACCGATCTCAATGGACAGGATTGACAGGTGATCCTGTCTGGCAAATTTTGCAGCCAGAATTAAAATTGCTACTCTGTATGCGTCCACGCAGTGCGTGTTGCTGTCAACTCTTTGTAGACTTGCAGTTGTACACGTATTCAATGAATGGATGAGTATTAACAAATTCCAGTCTTTGGGAAGCAGTTATAAATCACCTTAATTTGGGTGTATAAACTCAGAATCTGACAAGAAATTACCTGACTAATCAAACCAGATCTGGCTGCTCAAGTCTAAGGTAGAAGCAGCCGTCACACCACCCAGCATGTTGAAGCACGGCCTACAAAGTCTCAAACGACAGCCCAGGGCAAGTTGCTGTAAGAATGGAACTGGATGAATCAACTAAAGCGTTTCATGTTTTTGCATTTCATTTTACTTTTGTGTTTGAAACATTCTTGATTGAGGATACTTTGTATTCATGAGCTGCCTCTCAACAGCTCACAGCAATAGTATGTGGAAGTCAGGATACAAATATGAACGGATGTGCTGATCACTGAGAAATCCAATGATCCCAATAAGAAAATCACATAACCTGTTCCATCTCTCTGTATGAATCAGGTCTATCAGCAGAATGCACAAAAAAAAACCCATTATAAATATGTGTCTGACACAGATTTCTTCTTTGGATATATGTCTTGACTGAGATGTTGGCACCATTTGCAATCTCAGGTCACACTTATCTGTAATGAGGCTATATTCACACTATA